CTAACTTGACTTTCATTTAGTCACAGGAAACAACATATCTAAATTTGAAATGATTTTGTCAAAGATTTTTCAAGTTATTGCACAGACAACACTCTAAGTATCACTTTTCACTATTTAAAGGGTTATAACTCTTACTCAACAATGATAAATGCTAAAATTGTGAAAATCTAACTTGACCTTCATTTAGTCACAGGAAGCAAAACATCACCAAATTAATAACCGATATTTTTCTTTGGAAATCCGGTTAAAATTTGAAAGTTTACCCCTATGTTCTATTTTTAGCCATGTCGGCCATGTTTGTCGGCAAGCAGGGTTATCAAACACATTTTTTAAACTAAATACCCTATTAATGATTGTGGCCAAGTTTGATTAAATTTGGCCCTGTAGTTTCAGAGAAGATATTCTTTGTAAAAGTTAACAGATGACGACAGACAATGGACGCTAAGTGATGGCAAAAGCTCACACTGGCCTTTTGGGCGAGGTGAGTTAAAAATTGTTGGTAAAAGTAGGCAGTGCATAGTGACAATAAAATGCTTCGCTGGGGCGCAGCTTGATACGACCGCAGAGGTCGAACCCTGAACAGTTGGGGCAAGTATGGACACAAAATTCAAGCTTGATACAGCTATGACTTTGGATTGTCATTAAATATTTGACACAGCATAGGTTTCTGACACAGGATGAATGTGGTGTAAGAACTGGAAAAAATTTAATTTACCTATTATGGTGGAATATCCATAAACTAAATTGTTTGTTAATTTCAATATATCAAAGAATATGTAGAATTCAATGTTTGATGTAATGTAATAAAGTTGAAATTTGGACCGTTTTTGTTCAATGTGGACCAATTTGGTAACATGTATAAATAATCAAAAATCTAAATACATGGGACCCCATTTAAATACATCATAAAGGTATTAAAATAGAAAGTGACATCATAGTCATGGCTAAAAATAAACAAAAATCCTTAATCAGCAACATTTAAAGTAACATCTAAAAATAAAATTCCTTTGTAACCATAAAAGCCCATTTAAATACATCACAAGAGTGCACACACTGAAATGTCTCGCCTTCTTTACTAATCATTGATATTATGTTGATAGTCCTAAATATAAAGCTTTATTACAACTGTCACATAAACTTAACATTAACCAAGAAAACTAAACATTGACCAATGAACAATGAAAATGAGGTCAAGGTCAGATGAACCGTGCCAGGCAGACATGTACAGTTAACAATTCTTCCATATAACAAATATAGTTGACCTATTGCTTTTAGTTTAAGAAAAACAGACCAAAACACAAAAACTTAACACTGATCAATGAACCGTGAAAATGAGGTCAAGGTCATATAAAACCTGCGTGACTGACATATAGATCATAAAATATTTCCATACACCAAATATAGTTGACCTATGGCATATAGTATTAGAAAAAAAGACCAAAACTCAAAAACTTAACTTTGACCACTGAACCATGAAAACGAGGTCAAGGTCAGATGACACCTGCCAGCTAGACATGTACACCTTACAATCATTCCATACACCAAATATAGTAGACCTATTGCATACAGTATAAGAAAAACAGACCAAAACACAAAAACTTAACTATAACTACTGAACCATGAAAATGAGGTCAAGGTCAGATGACACCTGCCAGTTGGACATGTACACCTTACAGTCCTTCCATACACCGAATATACTAGACCTATTGCTTATAGTATCTGAGATATGGACTTGACCACCAAAACTTAACCTTGTTCACTGATCCATGAAATGAGGTCGAGGTCAAGTGAAAACTGTCTGACGGGCATGAGGACCTTGCAAGGTACGCACATACCAAATATAGTTATCCTACTACTTATAATAAGAGAGAATTTAACATTACAAAAAATGTTCTCTTTTTTTTCAAGTAGTCACTGAACCATGAAAATGAGGTCAAGGACATTGGACATGTGACTGACGGAAACTTCGTAACATGAGGCATCCATATACAAAGTATGAAGCATCCAGGTCTTCCACCTTCTGAAATATAAAGCTTTTAAGAAGTTAGCTAACGCCGCCGCCGCCGCCGCCGTAGCCGCCGCCGCCGCCGCCGCCGGATCACTATACCTATATCGAGCTTTCTGCGACCAAAAGTCGCAGGCTCGACAATAAAGATATTAAAATAGAAAATGACATCATAGTCATGGCTAAACATAGCTAAAAAACCCTTAATCAGCATTATTTAACAGTAATATCTAAAAATGAAAATTACATCATAAAGGTATTAAAATAGAAAATGACATCATAGTCATGGCTAAAAATAAACAAAATCCTTAATCAGCATCAGCAACATTTTATAGTAATATCTAAAAATAAAATTCCTTTGTAACCATAAAAGCCCATTTAAATACATCATAACAGATATTAAAATAGAAAATGACATCATAGTCATGGCTAAACATAGCAAAAACCTTAATCAGCATCATTTAACAGTAATATCTAAAAATAAAAACTTCTTTGCAACCATAAAAGTAAAATAGAAAATGACATCATAATCATAGCTAAAAATAAACAAAAATTTTTTTTATTGGCAAATTTTAAATGGAGTTTATTATACTAAAACAATAAATTTGCAACCATAAACATGATAAAACCCCATTTAAACACATCATAAAAGTATTAAATAATTCAACTACATCATAAGGCTATAAAAATAGAAAATGACTTCATAGTCAAGGCTAAAGGTAAACAAAAAACCTTCATCAGCAAAATTTTATATTGGCAAATTTCCAATGAAGTTTATTACACTAAAATTGTTGGCAAATTTCCAATGCATTTATTAACAATAAAGTTATTGGCAAAATTCCAATTTACATAATTTAAAAGCAGTGTAGATGAGATATTTAAATGAGTTTGAATTACCAACCTTACACTGCTTTTAAATAATGTTCTTTACTCAATTATTTGTCTATTAAAATGGAAACCCTTGTTTTTTAACCTTTTTTCGGATTTTCCCCCTTATTCCTTAAACATTAGAGCCATAACCCCCCCCCCCCCCCCAAAGCCAATTATTACTTTCCAATGTAACTTAAATTTCCAATATACATAATTTTAAATTTCAATTCCTCATGATATATAACTGTATCATTATTATTTTCTTTCATATATAAATCTGAAACAACCATCTTTAAATGGAAAATTTTAAAGAAAAAAAAAGGAAAAAAAAAAATCCTACCTCCCACACATTTTTTCAACCCCCTTTTGATTCATCATCCCCCACCTCAATCACAACCTTCAATTTGTGGTATGGTACATTGCAATACAATTTCACAGAGATCCATACACTTGAACACAAGTTTTTGTTGCAAACTAAAAAAATCCTTATTTTTGACCAATATTTGGCCCCTTATTCATAAATGTTTGAGCAGTTAACCCCAAAACTCAATTCCTACTTTCTCTTCGTGATAAAAAATAACTAACTTAAAATGTAAATTTTAAACAAAAAAAAAAAGGAAAAAAAAAAATTACCCCTTTTTTGACCCCCGCCCCCCTTATGATTCATCACCCCCACCCCCCTTTCCCCCCAAACCAAGCTCAATACCAGCCTTGCCTTTGTGGTATGGTACCTTGTAATACAATTTTAGAGAGATCCATACACTTGAACACAAGTTATTGTCTAGAAACTAAAAAATGCTTATTTTAAACCCCTTTTTAGGCCCCTTATTACTAAACGTTTTGGGCAATTACCACAACACTCAATTCCAGCTTTCCCTTTGTGAAATGGAACCTTGTAGTAAAATTTCAGAAAGATCCATACACTTACACACAAGTTATTGTCATGAAACTAGAAAAATGCTTGTTTTTTGCCCCCTTTTGGCCCCTTATTCCTAAAATTTTGAGGCAATTAACCCCAAAATCAATCCCAGCATTGACCCTTTGTGATATGGAATCTTGTGGTACAATGTCAAAGAGATCCATATGCTAACACACAAGTTATGTCTGGAAGTTACAAAAATGCTTATTTTCGGCCCCTTTTTGGCCCCTAATTCCTTAACTGTTGGTACCATAACCCCCAAAATCAATCCCCACCTTCCTATTGTGGTATTGAACCTTATGGTAAAATTTCATAGAGATCCATTCACTTAAACTAAAGTTAGAGTGCGAAAACCATTGTGTATTCGGACGACGATGCCGGACGACGACGCCGGACGACGACGACGACGCCAACGTCATACCAATATACGACCTCAAAATTTTTTTGCGGTCGTATAAAAACCATCATCATTTCTTTTTTCTAATTCACTAGTATAATTCTGAAGATTTTCTTTTCAGAAATATAGTTTTCCTCATTCCTTTATGTGCATAGCAACTACTCTGTTTAGATATGTTTATTAGCTTAAATTACTTTAGATTTTAAATGATCTTGGTCCAATCCATGTCAACATTTTGTTTACATTGGAATCAACTTTAAATTTAATTGAATATATTTATTTATAATCCGGCAGCATTCTATTGGTCAAAAAAGTAAACATAAAAAAGAAAATACATACAGTTATTCTTTTACCTATGAAAAGTTATCCATATTTGAGGAAATTATAAAACATAATATTTATGTAGTGTCTGTAACTTAAATAACTTACTGAGTTCATTTTATTTACCATTTACATAAGAAATACATTTTCTTCTGATTTCAATTCTCATGCATAGGACAACTCTTGATAGTTTTGATGGGCTTCATGTATATGTAGTCTTTCATTTAAAGTTTTGATCTGTTCTTTCAATTATATAAACCTATTTTTCATTAATAAAGAATTGGGGTATATTTTTGCAGAATATAAAAGGATTTTATCCTGTTATTTTTTCTGTTGGTATTTTGTTAACTAGTTGTATTGGAATTATAATTGTGCATAACACTTGTGATAGTTCATTAAGACATTAATTTCCTGAGTTCATTAAAGACATAAATTTCCTGATGTTAATTTAACATGCTTAACATGTAGTGTCCATAACCAGCACTTACTTTTATTTGTTGTTGCTTTGCCTTCTCTACAAGCATTCAGAGTAATGATGACATTCTGAAGTTTCTGATAAAACTCATCAAACTCAGGTCCTTTCTGGAACTGTAAAACAAATGATCTTTTTTTCCCCTGATCATTCAAATGGAACTCATGCCAAACTTTAGACTCTTTTACATTGTGTTCCAATGATTTGTCTATAAGTCGATTTAGGTTTATGGTAATTGCTGGTGTCTGAAATGGAAAAAAAAATGTGTTTATTTATTTTTTCTCAATTCATTAACCCTTTCTAAAACAGTTGTGTTGCAGTTTTTTGTTACAGCTTATCCAAATAAGCATGGGTGAAAGTACACAAGGTGCCAAAATATGGTCATGAAAAATTCAATATTTGGTAAAGGAATGTTTAGGAACAATAAATGTCAAAATCTGGAAATCTTGCTATTTCTAGAAAACTTTATTGTATGAATAAGCACTGTAATTCATACCTACCAACCCTCCCGTTTTGAGCGGGAGACTCCCGCTCAAATGGCGAAATACGGGAAATCTCCCGCCTTCCGGTACCCTCCCGCGCGGGAGTATAGAATCTCCCGCTTTTGGATATTTCAACCTTGAATGACAAGTCAACAATAATTACGTTTTTGTGTCGCTGATGAGGGTTGTTTTTACCTGTAAATCACAGGCCATGTGAAATTAAATGGCTTCACTTGACAGCTTGGGTGTCAAACATAGTACTAATTTACGATCATTAACGACTTTTGCTTCAAGCTTTGTGTTCTACTTCAAAGAAATTTCAGGTTACTTCCCCTGTTTAATCCTGTTTTAAGTTACCCTTATTAAAATAATGTGAATTGATAAAACAATATAAACTAAATACAATTTAAACAAAAAATCATAAAAGGATGGCAATTAAAAGATTTTGTATGCCTTAAGACGAAAAAAATAATCATATTTTAAAAATATCTTAAACATGTTAAAAGATCTATACTTCTATTCAATGTTGAAATTTATAATATATGTATTGAACCAAATTAATTGATAGAATGACTGTATAGCCAGTCAAGGTCGTTAAAAACTTCCATTTGATAGAAACAATCAACACACCTCTGTAAGATATAACCATATTTAAAGAAACAAAGTATAACTAATAACTCTTATAAGTGATTCGTAGATGAATAAGTAAACATGTCAAATATTTCACTTGAAAATGTAGTTCGCGCAAAATCTCCCCCTCAGCTGTCATAGCTGAGAGGGAGATCTCCCTCTTTGAAGGTTTCAAAGGTTGGCAGGTATGCTGTAATTGTAGATCAAAACTTTTTCCTTTAGGCAAATACTCATGTTTTATTTGTCAAAAGAGCGGGCTGGGGGGCTTGGTTTTTTTTTTTTTTTAAATTACAAACAATTTGTTCAATAACCATGATAACAAACAGGAACAAGAACCTCAATGTTGTATGTTTTCCCCTATTTTCAATGGAAACAAACTATTTGAAAAGAGGAATGTGTCAATAGACAGTAACCCGACCAAAGAGCATAAAACAGCCCAAGGCCACCAATGGATCTTCAACACAGCGAGAAAATCATGCACTTGGAGGCAAACTTCAGCTGGCCCCTAAACAATAATGTATACTTGTTGAATGGTTGATGCCTCAAAATAGTTACAACTCTCATATCAGTGCATTTTACAATTGCAAGAGTTACCTTCACATTTGCGCGTAAAAATCATTATGTTTGCACGCAGCTTTTATACACAACACATTTTTTTTAAGAAAACTTTTATTATATAACATACTAAATCTAAACATCATTATCCAAATAAGATACCATACACATGATACATAACAATATACATTTCTATAACTAAAAATGTTACATTATTGGCTTTCTTGGGGCTACTCATTCATTGAAAAATTTAACCTTTAACTTTTTTTAAGATAATAAAATACATGTAAATTGAAAATGCCTAATGGTAAAATTCTGTGAAAACTTGTACAAAAAAGTTTAACATAAATTGCATAACAATGCTGGGGAGATCCCTGCAGCAAACTTAAAACTGTATGAAATGTCACCTGGGGAGATCCCGGCAGGTGCGAGCTACTTGACTAAAGAAAATTACCGACCTGTGGAGATCCCGGCAGGCCTATTCCTGAGGAGATCCTGGCAGGAATTAACTTAATACCTTAAAATACATAATTGTTCCTGGGGAGATCCTGGCAGGAATTACCTTAAATATTAAAATACATAATTGTTCCTGGGGAGATCCCGGCAGGAATTAACCTATCTGATGTATTATTGAATTGAGGGAGTATAATTCCCCTTGAATTATAAAGGCCTGAAGCTATTTGTAATCCACAATATGAGTAGCCCCTAAATTAGTGAGAAAACAAGTCTAAATATACAATGTGCATATGTATAAAACTAAACTTAATGACTAAGAAAGTTATTAATGAATAAAACAATTACTAAAGAACTAATATCATAAAGTCAATATTATGTATAACAAGCATTCTGTGAGTATTGCCTGGCAATACATAGTCCCCAACCGGTTAAAAATTCATTGTACTGGAACAAAATGCTAACTTGATCTATAACTTGTCATGGTGTAAACTATATAACAAATATCAAGTCAATATCTTCAAGCATGACGAAAAAAAATGTGGAAAATTGATTATTTGAGTGAATTTTCTAAGTCCAAGAACCATAACTCTGCACAAAATCATTAGACCAGAACAAAATTCGAACTTGATCTGTAACTTGTCATGATAAAACTATATACCAATTATCAAATCAATATCTTCAAGCATGACGAAAAAAATTGAGGAAAACTGATTATTTGAGTGAATTTCTAAGTCCAAGGACCATAACTCTGCACAAAATCATTAGACCGGAACAAAATTCGAACTTGATCTGTAACTTGTTATGATAAAACTATATACCAATCATCAAATCAATATCTTCAAGCATGACAAAATAAATTGCTTCGCTGAGCTCAGCTGGATACGACAGCAGATGTCCAACCCTGAAAAGTTGGGGCCAAAATGGACACAATATTCACTCTTGATACAGGTCTGAATTTGGATTGTAATTAAATTTTTGACACATAATAGGTTTCTGACACAGAATAACTGTAGTCAAAGAACTTCAAATTGGTTTTATGATTTGAATTTATATTCAATTTTTTGCTTTTGTGCATTACACTATGTGAATTGACCCCCCCTCCCCCCAAAAAAATTTTACCCTGTTTTTTTGCATTTGTGCAATACACTTTGCTGTTGAATATTAACCCCCCAAAAAAAAATATTTGAAGAAATTTTCTTTTAATTTCTGAAATCTGAAATGAGAGAAAAATTGTCCCCCTCCAATTTTTTTCACCTCCCCCCTTACCCTTATTCCAAAAAATAATTCTTTCCCTCAAGTTATGGTCAGTATCTCAGACAATCATCATTTCTTAATACATAATTTACAAGCAGTGTAAGGGAGGTAATCAAACATTGTTATTTAAATTGATTTGGATTTTGATTTGGACTACCTCCCTTACACTGCTTTTAAATTGTCTCAATTGTCCTTTAACCAGAAAAACCCTTGTTTTTCCCCTTTTTTGGCCCCTAATTCCTAAATGGTTTGAGCCATAACCCCCCAAAGTCAATCCTAACCATCCCTTTGTAGTATGGAAACTTGTGGAATAATTTCAGAGAGATTCATACACTTTAACACAAATTATTGTCTGGAAACTACAAAAATGCTTATTTGGGCCCCTTTTTTGGCCCCTAATTCCTAAACATTTGGGACCATAACCCCCAAAATCAATCCCAACCTTCCTTTAGTGGTTATAAACCTTGTGTTAAAATTTTATTGATTTCTTTTTACTTATACTAAAGTTATTATCCGGAAACCATCTGTCTTTGGACGACGCTGACGACGCTGACGACGACAACGTGATACCAATATACAACCAAAAATTTTTTAATTTTTGCGGTAGTATAATAATTGATAGGCACTGATTTGTAATAAGACAGGAAAAATTGTAGATCAGTGTAAGCGAAGTGGCATAGAATCTGTTTTATTATTTTCAAAGAGATATAGAATATAAATTGTGTAATACCAAGGTTAAATAAATTGCTTCGCTAAGCGCAGCTGGATACGACCTCAGATGTCCAACCCTGAAAAGTTGGGCCCCCAAAAAAAAATCTTTCCCTCAAGATATGGTCAGTATCTCAATTCAAATTTCTAATGGAGTTTGCAACCATAATTACCTATTTAAATACATCATAAAAGTTTTAAAATATAAAATGACACATAGTCATGGCTAAAATTAATATTAATTAATAGTAACTGCTAAAAATAAATTGACAGCTAATCACCTCAAGACAATCATCATTTCTTAATACATAATTTACAAGCAGTGTAAGGGAGGTAATCAAACAGTGTTCTTTTAATTGATTTGGATTACCTCCCTTCCTTTAGTGGTTATAAACCTTGTGTTAAAATTTTATTGATTTCTATTCACTTATACTAAAGTTATTATCTGGAAACCATCTGTCTTTGTACGACGCTGACGTCGACGACGCCGGACAACGACGACAACGTGATACCAATATACGACCAAAAATTTTTTAATTGTTGCGGTCGTATAAAAAAGTGCAGAAAACTGATTATTTGAGTGAATTTTCTAAGTTCAAGGACCATAACTCTGCACAAAATTGTCAGACCGGAACAAAATTCGAACTTGATCTGTAACTTGTCATGATTAAACAATACACCAAATATCAAATTAATATCTTCAAGCATGAAGAAAAAGTGTTGAAAACTAATTTGCCGGACTGACGGATGGACAGACGGACGGATTGCAAACCTAAAGTCCCCTTCGACTTCGTCGGTAGGGGACTAATTATGTGATGTAGATTTATTAAGAAGTCTTGTGAAAAAAAACCTTTAGTTTCAACAAATAAAAATATGAAGCTTCATTATCTATCTATACACTAAACAAATACATTCTGGTAAGATACAAGTATCTTATTGGAAACCCATATGGTGTAGATGGGGACGATGGGTGGGATAGCTGATTAAAAACGTATGATAGGTCAGCTTGTTACTTTTATAATTAGGTCAGCAAAACACATACCCCCTCTTGGAGTAATGCTAATAGAATCTAAAAATAAATTGTACCTAAAATTAGATTCATTGATATTTCTAAACTCTTAGATAGAAGATACATTTTGTTGTGTATAAACTATAATTTA